GATTAAAATCAGATTAAAATTGAAAATATAGCCGTTATTGTTGACTTTTATTAGACGGGTGGGACCCAATAACAATCATATTTTCAATTTTAATTGGATTTTAAACCCTTCCGAACGGGGCCTTAATGTTTAAAATGGTATTTTAAATGAAAATTACAGAGTGGGTCTTAATTTTACCACTTAGATAGTATCTAATCCATATCTAGGTACTTCTATTTACAAGAAATATCTTAAGTTAATAAAGTAAGAAGCATTAATATCCATTGGGGGGGTACACTGCCATATGAAACCACTAAGTTGTTTTAGCTTTCGACCACTAATATTTGGACTGCAGTCAACATTAAAAGTATTGAGGTATAAGGATACTCTAGTCATATTTTCCAAAGGAACTCCGAAGTATCCTTTAGCAGTTGGTTCAGTGCTAATTAAAATGGCTGAAATTTCCAATAGGTTAAACTTTTCAAGTAAAAATTCTAAATGAATAATAACTTTTGCACCTCTAATTTGATATAGAAACTCCAGTTCTAGTAGGAAAAGAGTACTCTTACATGAACTTGAAAGACAAGGACGAGCATGAAATTCTTGTACCTTAGTTATCGAGACTAGCATGCATCCTCAATTTTCAACAAATAAAGCAACATATAATTACCAAAATCTCGGAATCGTTACTGGATTATACCGCAAGTGTGGCTAAGTTTAAAAGTTATTTCAACTTACTTTCAAATTATTTTTTGTTTGCAAATGTGTTTGAATATGTTACAGTTTACTTATAGCTAAAAGGTTTTGAATTATAAACTTTGGCAGGAAGCACAAAAATGCAAATTCAGAATAACTTCTCACCATTATTTTTCCCCGTACTCCTGCTTCTTCAATAGCTTCCCTAATTGCCGCCTGTTGATCTGTTTCATCATTCTCCCAGCCTCCCTGGTAGAGATAGCCACATAAATGACTCAATGAGTAACATACTTATCCAGTTTCTCTTCTAGTAAATTACAAAGAGGTCATAAATGCATATTAGACAGAGAATACAATAGCAGAAGCTGACTGAGAAAATAATGGAAGTTCCAGAACTGCTTCCCAAGAGACAAGAACGAGAAATTCATACTCATGTTAAATAAAGAAAACCAAATTCAATGGATGAAGCTTAATTATGTTCTGCAGGTTAGGCTAACTCATTGGTGACAACCAAACCCATGACGTAACGTGCCATGTTGAATCAACAACACAAGATTTCTCTAAAATTAAATCTAGAGGGGTCCAAATTGGGTTGTCTAATAACATTTACAAGAAACCTTGTGCAACTCTTTGGAGAATATAATTGCATAATATTCAACATCTCACAAATTAACCCAAAAAACAGAGCTTGATCAGAGTATTCCCGAGAGACAAGGACGAGAAATTCATACTTCGGTAAAAATGGAAACCAAAAAGTCTAAGGACGAAGCTTAATTAGGTTCTGCAGGTTAAGCTAATTCATTGATGACAACAGAAACCAATTATCCATGAAGTAACCAAACAACTCAAGATTTCCCTAAATTTAAATCATGAGGGGTCCAAATTGGGTTGTCTAAGAACAATGACAAGAAGCCTCATGCAACTCTTTGGAGAACATAATTGCATCATCTCATAAATTCATCCAATAAGCAGTGCTTCATCAAATGTCAAAGATTAACAATGCTTGCTATATACTTCTTCAAAACAACTCCTTACAAACAAACATAAATCCAAAACTTCCAGTCAAAAAATAGCAAACCAAAATTGAAATATTAAAGCAAGCTAATACAAGCCATGAACATAGATTGCTACTCCACACATGAAATCTCTTCGAGTGAAAACATAGAAAAATGGTGGGGGGGTGGGGTGGGGGGGGGGTTTGGTTCTAATCAGATGTAGAACTGACTACGTTTGCCACTTCTCTCTTTAAACAAAGTGTCACACATATAACAAAATTATTTTCAATGTCCGGGCACCTCGCTGTTCACAAGAAACAACTTCCCTCATAGTTTCCTGCATTCAAGCAGAGTCTTGGATACCAGTTGTTCATGACACTACTTATTGTATTTGTAGAATGAATCAGTATTTTAGGTTCTCATTTTCTGAAGATATTTATTTATTTGTAAAAGTACATCTGACAAAGTAACATTGGAAGAAGTAATTGACTTCCCAGATACATGGTATGTAAGTTATGCTTGTCAACCAATTCCTTTAGACTGATTTTAAACCAGTTGGTCGGTTTTTGTCAGAAAGAGTGCCAAGAGGCCCAAGTCCAACTAAATGTTAATTTGAAGACAATGCTTCTATATAGTGCTTCCAACTTATTGACAGCATACATAAGAGTAGAAGACAAATACTTGGAAATTATTCAGAACCATAAACAGTAATGGAAGTAACAGAAATACAGAGATGCATAACTGATACCTTTGGAAACAAAAGTCCTGGACCACTAGGTGAGTTTATCATGAGAACCTCTACAATCTTCTCTGAGTCCTCACTACTTGCATCAGAATCTCTATATCTATATGGAATGCATCTGGCATAAAAAAATTTTAAGTTAACATATGATACGAGTACAACAAAAATATGCTTCCAATTTATTTAAATTAACAGAAATAGTAGCTTCCTTCACAGAATAATATAGTGTTAGGGTAAATTAATATTTCCAGGGTAACACTATGCAATATTTATATAAATATTTGAATGCAACAAATATTTTGAAGAAACCCCTTAAGGTTTGAAAATCTATCAACTGATGCTATGGAGTTTTAGGCCTCATAAGTTAGCACACTACCATATAAAGAGAGAACAAATGGAGCCAAAACAAGCTTTGCAGGCAGAGAAAAAGTTTAATGATCCACATCCAATTCTAAACTGTAATTCTTATTCAAGAAGAGAATTCGATACCAAAGAAAATTTCCTTCATCAATAAAAAGTTCAATAAAATTTTACACGTTTTCCAGTCACGCAATCTTTTTCTTCAGGAAAAACCGACATGTTATCTTAGTTATAGAAACTTGTCACGATTCAGACTTCAATTTCAGCTCCTTCCTCACCGTAACTCACTGCAACAGAAATCAGCTGAAACCAACTGATGAATTACCAGTTCGACAAAAGGGAAAAACAGAAATTGGGGGGGGCGGGTGGGGGGGAGTGGAGTGATGAAAAATTGAGAAGAGAATTTCTGCTCTTTCCTCACCAAAACTCTCTGCGACAAAAATCAGCTGAAACAGCTGATGAATTACCAGTTCGACAAATGGGAAAAATAGAAAGTGGGGGATGATGAAAAATTGAGAAGAGATGAGAGATGAGTTTAATTGAAGAATCAATCCACTAATAACTGAAATTTCATAACAATTCACGCGATAATTTGCAGAGAGTATATTGACATATATATATACACTCCAGCAGAGCAGAAAAACGCGATTAGCTAACAGAATTTGAAGGAAAACATTTTTCAATTATTACATTTTAATTATATATAAAACAATGCCGTTTCTTTAGTGACAAAAAGACGCCGTTTCCACTTTCAAATGTTAGTTAATTCCGTTTCCAAGTTCTTCCTTCTTTCCTTCCCTCTGGTTTGCCGAGCTTCTTCTTCCCGTCTTTCCCCAAGTGCTTCCTCCATAACAACCCTTCCCCTCACCTTGATGTTGTCCCCAAGATCTACATATAGGAAACTGAAATTTAATACATTCTGAGTCCTCCCAAGTTGCACTTTATGGTGAAAAATCTGATGTATAAGCCACTGAATTGCGTGATTTTTGCGCTGCACCACTCGAGTTTGTAAAATAGAAAGAGGCCGATGACCCGAATGTAAAGTCTGGTTTCCTTCTGGTAATTGCAATACTGGTATGATGTTATCTCTAAGCTGCTTCTTTAACAAGGACACATGGAAAACTGAGTGAATTTTCGACCCCTCTGATAAGGCTAACTGGTAAGCCACTTCCCCAATTCTTTTAACAATCTGATATGAGCCAAAGTATTTAGCACTCAGTTTGTGATGAGGTCTGCGTTCTACTGATTGTTAGGTATGAGGATGTAACTTAAGGAAATCCCAATCTCCCTCTTTGAAGGATCGCTCTGTTTGATTCCTGTCAGCATAGAGTTTCATTCTAGCCCTCGCTTGTGATAGATTCTACTTCACTAGTTGGTCTAGTTTATACCTTTCCTAAAGCAATTCATCTACTACAACTACATTAGACTGTTGATAGGGCCCTAGTACCAATTGGGGAGGTTTCATTCCATTTAAAGCTTCAACCAGGGTCATTCTTATAGCAGTATGATAGGTGGTGTTGTACTACCATTCAGCCAAAGCTAGCCACTTTCCCCACTGTTTAGGGTGCTGGTAAACCGTGCACCTCAATTATACTTCCAAGCATTGGTTGACCCTTTCAGTTTGCCCATCTGTTTGAGGGTGATAGGTGGTGATGAAATGTAGTTTAGTTTAGGGCTGCACAAAAAAATCGCGAAACCGTAAACCAAACCGAACCGAAATCTTGGTTTGAAACCGTTGATTTGGGTCCACGTGGACCCGCAATTTTTTTCTCTCTCAAATTGAACCAAACCGTTTCAAAAGGTTTGTTTAGGTTTCAAATTTTAAAAACCGCAAAAAATCAAACCTAACCGCACTTTTTTTAATTAAAATTTTTTTTATTAAGGCTATGTTTGGTAAAAATTTTCATTTTCAACAGTAAATCAATTCTCATTTTCAACCACACATTCTTCAATAAAATAATATTTTCTTTCATATCAATAATCTTATCTTCATTTTCAACCACACATTTCCCATCATATCACTATTCAAAATCAATTCTTCCCCCAAAAAATCCCTACCAAACACACACTAAATTATAAATTCTCATATATAAATTTTATTAAAGTATAATTTTAGAATTTAAAGTATACTTTCTTGAAGGGTACAAATTTAATTAACCTAACTCATGCATAACATACAAGTCAATAAGTCATTGTCATTAGTATTTAGTTGGGCCTTCGTTAAATTTTTTTTAGGCCCATAATTAAAAAATGAATTGAACGTGAAATTGTGACTGTTGCCCAGCCATATATGCAATTACGCCTTTGCAAAAACATAAGCAAACCAAAGTTTCTAAGCCCTAGCTCCCTCCCTCTATCCAACAGCGCCGACACACGCCACGCAGTGCCAACTGACGCTTGTCACCTGCTGTCGTCGACGTCATTTCTCCACCACTGCTTACCGCCACTGATAGTGACTCTGGATGTGAGCCTCTCTTCCTTTTCCTTGTGTATCGAAACAATTTTTCATCATTTGTTTATACAAGAGAAATTAAAAGTCGAGATCAAAACCCTTGATTTTTTCTCTCTAGAAACGTAAAAGAAGACTCAGAACTGATTTGAGTAGAGAATTTTGAATGAATTTCTCTTTCTGTTTTCTCACCTGGTTAGGCTTTGGTTAATCTAATCATTCCACATCAATAGGTTGACTATAGTGCTTTGCATTGCACATTTTCATGTTTTAAGACCTCTTTCGTATATATTCCAGCAAATGAATATACACTAGTAAAAAATGCAATACATGATATACATTCACCCTTGTTTTATTGAAAATCTAAATAGATTGTGAGATTTATTTATTCATGATGCTAAATGCNTCTATCATATCAATAATCTTATCTTCATTTTCAACCACACATTTCCCATCATATCACTATTCAAAATCAATTCTTCCCCCAAAAAATCCCTACCAAACACACACTAAATTATAAATTCTCATATATAAATTTTATTAAAGTATAATTTTAGAATTTAAAGTATACTTTCTTGAAGGGTACAAATTTAATTAACCTAACTCATGCATAACACACAAGTCAATAAGTCATTGTCATTAGTATTTAGTTGGGCCTTCGTTAAATTTTTTTTAGGCCCATAATTAAAAAATGAATTGAACGTGAAATTGTGACTGTTGCCCAGCCATATATGCAATTACGCCTTTGCAAAAACATAAGCAAACCAAAGTTTCTAAGCCCTAGCTCCCTCCCTCTATCCAACAGCGCCGACACACGCTACGCAGTGCCAACTGACGCTTGTCACCTGCTGTCGTCGACGTCATTTCTCCACCACTGCTTACCGCCACTGATAGTGACTCTGGATGTGAGCCTCTCTTCCTTTTCCTTGTGTATCGAAACAATTTTTCATCATTTGTTTATACAAGAGAAATTAAAAGTCGAGATCAAAACCCTTGATTTTTTCTCTCTAGAAACGTAAAAGAAGACTCAGAACTGATTTGAGTAGAGAATTTTGAATGAATTTCTCTTTCTGTTTTCTCACCTGGTTAGGCTTTGGTTAATCTAATCATTCCACATCAATAGGTTGACTATAGTGCTTTGCATTGCACATTTTCATGTTTTAAGACCTCTTTCGTATATATTCCAGCAAATGAATATACACTAGTAAAAAATGCAATACATGATATACATTCACCCTTGCTTTATTGAAAATCTAAATAGATTGTGAGATTTATTTATTCATGATGCTAAATGCTAATATCACGATATACAAAAACTTATTAAAAATTTTAGTATTGGGGAATTCATTCCATGGCTTTCTTTTACTATCACCGTATTTGGTTGATTATTTGTCTAATCGTTGTGAAGATTTGATCGATCCCAAGTTTGACGTATTAGTTTGATGGAAATTGAATGCGCACAAGTACAAAATTATCTCTAAAATTGCCAAAGATGTATTAACAATTCAAATATCTACAGTCGCTTCAGAGTAGGCATTTTCCACGAGTGGTCGGATTCTTGACTCCTTTATGAGTTCATTGAGTGGAAAGATGGTTGATGCCTTAATATGCACCAAGAATTGGTTGCATAGCAGCAATGAACTTATAGTGCATCGTCCCAGGCAGGTGTAACTAATGATATACTTGAACATTTAGGACTCCCATCATGTCTTATCCACTACCCTTTTATAAATAATCTCATAGTTGAAGCCAAGGAGCTTGGTGAGCCACTTCTGTTGGAGCAGAGTTGTGATCCTTTGTTCAAGTAGGTACTTGAGTGCTTGGGGGTCAGTCTTTACCACAAAGTGGTGGCCTTCTAGATATTGCCTTCACTTACATATCGTAGTTACCAAGGCTAGTAACTTCTCGTAAATAGATAGCCTCGTGTTTCTGAGTCCAATTGCCTTACTCAAGTAGGCTAAAGGTCTTCTACCCTGCATTAACACAGCTCCTATGCCCCCTTCATAGGCATCCGTTTATATTATAAAGGGTTGGCTGAAATCATGGAGGGCCAATACTGGGATGGAACTCATTGCTTCTTTCAAGAAAATAAAAGCTGAATCTACCACTTCTGACCAATGGAAGTTATCTTTCTTAAGCAGGTTAGTGAGAGGTTTGGCTATGATTCCTTAGCTTCTGACAAATTTCCTATGATAACCAGTGAGGCCTAGAAACCCCCTTAACTGCTTGATGTTCATTGGTTGAGGCCACTGCCTCATTGTTTCAACCTTGAGAGGGTCTGCTGCAACCCCATGCTGGTTGATGATGTGCCCCAAATACTCAACTTGTTTTTGGCCAAAGCTACACTTAGGATCTCTTGGCATATAGCTGATGTTTCTGTAAGATTTTAAGGACTGATCTGAGATGGTGGCAATGTGAATCTAGATCTTGACTGTAAACTAGAATATCATCGAAAAACACCAGCATATAATCCCATAGCTGATCCTTAAACACTTCATTCATGAAGCTCTGAAGAGTGGCAAGTGCATTGGTGAGGCCAAAAGGCATCACTTTAAATTCATATAGGCCTTGGTGAGTTTTGAAAGCGGTCTCTTGGGTGTTAGCCTTTGTAACTCTGATTTGGTGGCACCCTGCCCTTATGTCAATTTTAAAATAGAATTTAGATCCATTCAGCTCATCTAAAAGCTCATCAATCAGAGGTATGGGTAATTTATCTTTGATAGTGAGGTTGTTTAACTGCCTGTAGTCTACACAAAACCGCCATAATCCATCTTTCTTCTTGACTAAGAGAACTGGAGATGCAAAAGGGCTATTGCTGTGCTTGATTATGCCACTATCCAGCATTTCCTTAACCAGCTTCTCAATTTTGGATTTCTAGATGAAGGGGCATCTATATGGTCTTATCTTGAAAGGTTGAGCACTTTCTTTCAGAGGTATGTGCTGATCATGGGTTCGAGGAGGTGGCAATCCTTTCGGTTCCTCAAATACTACAGGGAACTGATCAACAACTTCAGTGATTTGGCCTAGGATCTCTTCTCCTTCTTTCTCACTGATGGCATACAATTGTTCAATAACTCCATACTGTTGTATTCTAAATAAATTTCGTACCTCTTTCACTTCCATCATCATTACCCGAGCTCTGCATTTTCACATCTTAGTGTTATTTCTTCTTGTTCATGTTTGAACCGGATATATCCTTGTTTGAAATCGAATATGATAGGCCCAAATTGACTCAACAAGTTAACACCCAGCACCATGTCATTACCTCCTAACTTCAAGGTTCTCATATTATATTGGAATTCCCAGTTGTGCACCTTCCAAACCAGTGGTTGAATCAAGGCTTTTCTCTCTATTTTTTCACCATTAGCCACCCTCACTGTTACGGTTTTAGTCTCCTCTATAGGATAGTTCAGCCCCTTAGCCAACCTCTCATCTATGAAGCTATGAGTGCTCCCACTATCTACTAAAATAGATATGCTCCTTCCCTTAATAGTTCCTGGAATTCTGATAGTTCCGTGCCTTGGGTCTCCAGCCAAAGCACTCATAGATATTTCCATCACTTCGTCTTCATCTGATTCAGGTTCTCTCTCTTCTTTAATTTCATCACCCTCTTCATCCACTAATATGAAATTCAATGCTCTATTTTACACACATGCCCTACAGTGTATTTCTCATCACATTTGTAACACAACCCCAAGTTTCTCTTGGTTTGAAAATCAGTAGGTGTGATTGTTTTATAACTATTTGGTGGTTTATTCGTTTTTGGCCATGGTTCTTTGGGTTTGGGTTCTTTAGGTGGTTTTGGGGGGTAAGGGTTCCACTTGTTAGGTGTGAAACTCTTAGGTTTTTGGTATTTGTTTATGGCTTGAATGGTAGATTCCTGTAGGCTAGCTACCTCAAATGCTTTAGCTAGGGTGTTTGGTTTCATCATCTTCACCATGGATTTAATCTCCCCTCTCAATCCGCTAGTAAATATAGCAATATAAATAAGATTCAGGGACATGTGGTAAAGGCTACCATCACCTGTGATTTGAGTTCTTCGAATTTCTCGTGGTATTCTTCTATGGAGCCCAGTTATTTGATCTTATTGAAGATCTCTACTACTTCCTCTCTAGTAGTTTTTGCAAACCTCTTGCATAGTTTTTCTGAAAACAAACTCCAACTAGCTCTTGGGTGGCTGGCTATGAATCCATCAAACCAGATGTTGACCTTCCCTTTCAGGTACATTTCTGCCACTCCCACTCTAAGTTCATCTGGAACCTGATCTAGTTCGAAATATTTCCTGGCTTTCCTCAGCCATTCCCTAGGACCTTCTCCTCCAAAATGAGGGAAGTCTATCTTAGGCAGCCTAATATTCCCCTTCAATTCACCTCTGGAAATAACACTAGCGTGCATACTACTAGCTCCTGATGTGTAAGTTTCACTTCCAGGCTTCCCTTCAATTATGGACTCTGACATTCCTTTGTTCTTCTGATTATTTTTCAAATCAGTAAAGATTTGAGCCATAAATGCAACCACCTTCTCATACTTTTGGTTCAACTCTAGCACCGCATCTTCTATTTTCTCCTGCCTATTACCGAGTACCTGAAGAGTTTGGTCTGTAGATTCAAGCCTATTTTCTAGCCTTCCAGTAACCACTTTAAAACTCGTACCCAAATCTGCCACTTCGAGATCCAATTTCTTCAAATATTCATCCATTGCTTTAGACCTCGTATCCATTTCTATCAATTACCCAGTAATATACGCCTGCTCTGATACCAATTTGTCACGATTCATACTTCAATTTCAGCTCATTCCTCACCGTAACTCACTGCAACAGAAATCAACTGAAACCAACTGATGAATTACCGGTTCGACAACAGGGAAAAACAGAAATTGGGGAGGGGGGAGCGGAGTGATGAAAAATTGAGAAGAGATGAGAGATAAGTTGAATTGAAGAATCAATCCACTAATAACTGAAATTTCATAACCATTCACGTGATAATTTGCAGAGAGTATATGGACATATACACACACACACACACACTCCAGCATAGCAGAAAATGTGATTAGCTAACAAAATTTGAAGAAAAACGTTTTTCAATTATTACACTTTAATTATATTTACAACGACGCCGTTTCCGCTTTCAAATGTTAGTTAGTTTGCTGGTTTGCCGAGTTTCTTCTTCCCTTTCCCCAAGTGTTTCCTCCATAACAAAACTCTTCCCAAGAACATAACTCCCCCTTTCTCTATATAAAAAATAATATATATCATTTACATCAACAGCAAGAAACGACATATTCACTCGTAAATTGCTTTGAACGGGTTAATTGTTTGTCTAACCTTGCGATTCGGCATTAACGTTCTCATATTTCTACTTGATACACATGAGATGCATTTCCTCTAGCTCAAATCTAAAATTATATACCGAAAAAAAAAAAATCCAACAAAAGAAAATACAACTAATAAAGATATGCAATCTTATACAACATAATTAATATTAAACTGCAAAATTTCGAAAAAATGATACAAACATTAATACTGAGCGTAATGCATTATTAGATCAAATTCATTTATGTATAATATGCATACACATAAACACATTAAATTAACACAACACGTGCACAATACAGTAATCCTTGTAAGAAAATACGAAAAATAAATGAAAATGGGATTAAGAATTACCCAGCCACAAGGCGAAAACCGGAATCATACCGCTGCTGATGCCGGCCCGTTCTTGCCACCAAAGTATCACACATAATTTATATACGAACTAAACCGAACGGGAGAAAAAAAAAAACTACAACCCGGGTTTCTAGTAGTTACAATCTTGTTATTATACAGGCTGCATTGACAATTGACAGAAAGTAGCTATTTTCTTGAAACGGGATGATCATTCTCATTGTTAAAAAAAAAAAAGGAGAGAGAAATGGGCTACAAAGAAATCAATTGAATCAGTAAGAAAAACGGCAATGTGATGGGTATGAATCTGAGGATTCTAAAAGAAAATAACAGAGCCATTTTTGTTGTGGGTGAAACTGAAAAATGAGTAATGACAATGCGTTTGTTTCGGTAGGTTTGGCATGTAATTTTGCACTCTGATTGAGAAGCGGATCGCTAGAGAGGTCGTCAGTGCCGTTTGTGGGTGTGGTCAAACTTCGATGTCACGTGGCCATGGGGTCAATATGTAGATCCTTCTTCATGGTTGGCCTCAATTTTATTTCTACCTAGTCGTCCCCGATTTATATCCTACTGTGCACTGTTATCCTTTTAACCTTTTTTTTTTTCTTAGTATTGAGTTTCGATGTTTTTGATCGACTAAGAGCCTGTTTGGTATAAAAAAAATTTCACCTTTAAAGTCATTTTTGTACCCTTTTTGTCAAATTAGCGGGGCCCACATCTCACAACAAGGTCAATAGTTGCGGCTCAACGGACCAATTTGTGCTAAAAATCCTTACGAGACAACTTTTAAGACTATTGGTTTGATATTATCGTGCTTTTAAGATAATCAGCTATTGCTGTAATCAGTCGTCGAAATAATCCGATAAGTGTTTGGTAAACTTTTCTTTTAAAATTTTTGTATATTTTAAAATCATTATTTTAGTGTTTTGTAAATAAAGGTAATTTATAGATGTACGTAAACTCAAAAACTAAAACGGACATTTCATTCTTTTAAAATTGTTGCACACAGCGGCATTCACATCGACGATGGTTTTGAGGTTATTTTCACCAACGAAGTCAGACATATGGTTGAGCAACTGTAGTTTATGGTTTGTTTAATTGTCTCTTGAAGGGCGGCGCAGTATCGATGGTGATCTATGGACGAGCATGACATGAAGTTGAGTTCTTTGATGTGGCTGGATTTTTGTTGTTTCTAGCAATGAGTGACGCTTTTTGGGTTTTTTCCCCATTCAATCTACTTAGCTGGAGTCTTCTGATGGTTTTTATTGGTGGTTTGCAAATGGTGGTGGTGTGGCGGTGATAGTACTAATGGTGATGGTAAGGTGTGCTAGGTGCTTGTACTAATACTGGTGATGGTGGTGGTTCTGGTAATGCAAGTAGTGGTGTCGCTAACAGTATTGGTGCATGTGGTAGTGGTGAGATTGCACAGTGTTTAGTTGGTGTCGATATTGGATTGGGGTTGTGTGGAAGGATGAAGAGTGTTCGTGACAAATTATTTGGATGATTATGACCAATAATTGGTGAATTTATTATAAAAAATAATATGTGATCGATAAAATAGATAATGCGTGACAATAAGTATTATGTGACCTAAAAAAATGTGACAATGTGACTAAATTTGTAATTGTAATTCACAATTTGTTTGAGTGATTAATTTGATAATTTGTAATCGAGAAATATTATTTGAGTAATTAATTTGATAATTTGTAACCGTGAAATAAGTTATAAACTATAAACTTTATAATTTGTGCTTGAAAAATAATACATAACCTATTAATTTGATAATTTGTGACCTATAAATTTTTTAATTCGTGACCGAAAAATAATACATGACTAATTAAATTGATAATTTGTGATCGATAAATAAATTGTTACCTATTAAATTTGAGGTTTGTGACTATGACGTTCTGTGATTGTAAAATATTGTGACATTAACATATTTAATTAATAATTATTTTTAATTATCTAATTAGTTAATAAAATTTAATTATGACCTGATTTTGAAATATTAAAACAAATTTCTTGATTTTGAAATTGTATTTTGCAACACCAGGGAGAGTTACAAAACAAAAATGAACATTTTCCGCATAAAATTTCAAAATTAAGTCACTTTCTTTATCTTTTTTCTTTAACATGGATGACGACTCTTTCAATTTTCGTCTGCTTGAACCTTAAAGTCTCAAAAATTTATCAAATGCACTACAAAAAAAATCTCGTTTATATCCATCACTTCGAATCAGCAAGTACAGTTACGTATATTTAATTTCATGTTTTGTTAAATTAGTATACTTTTTAATCGTTAAATCTTATTTTGACATATGTTAACATGTAGACAAATTCTTACAATTTATTAAATAGATTTACAATTTTTTAAGCAAAAAAATGAAAAAAAAAAAAAAAAAATTCTGCATGGATAGATTCGAAAATATTAAATTTAAGGACCCAGACGACTTGGCTACCCTTTTTTTTCACTTTTCCTCAACTATTAAAAAGTTTCAATTTGGTCCTCCAAACTTTGTTTTCCGCCATATTTATTTCCCGATTGATCCTTCATGTTCCAATTTCCTACAATTGAGTTTATTTAATCTTTGATCATCATTTTATGGCCCGAATCAACTATTAGAAAGTTGCAATTAGGTTCCCAAATTTTGTTTTTCGCCATTTTTGCCAATGATCCTTCATGATTCAATTGCATACAATTGATTTTATTTAACATTCGATCATCATTTTATGGTCCGAATAAACTATTAAAAATTTACAATTAGGTCCCTTTACTTTTCAACATAATATCTTTTGATCATTTTTTTTAAATTTAGCAATTAATTATACAATTAAATATATACACAATTATATAAACAATATTTACATTAAAAAAAAAATACTATGTAATATGGATCACAATTATATGCACACAAATCGAAATCTAACTTAATCCTCTTTTTATCCATGCGTGTTTGGTTGATCAACTATTCACTATGTCCGATATTCAAAAAATTTATGTACTTGAACATTCCACAATAACCCTTGTACCTAAATAATAATATGTTAGTCTATTAACATATAACTAAAAATTAAGTTAAAGAGGACTTACGATACAATTTGTTTTGCTGTCGTTCTCTTTCTCACAACGGCTGGTATATCGCGTAATGCAATGTTCACTGTTCTAGCCATCATGGAATGATGATCGCCATAGACTACATTATATGCTCGAGTTGGCTCTATGTGGTACAGTTACGATCGTCGTCATAGATGTACATCATCGAGTCAGTGAATATGATTTCAACTGCGAAGGAGTGTGAGTTCGTAATCTAGAACGTACAATTGCATACAATCCGTTCATAGCATCCCTAATCTCAGCTCGAGCCCTATCGCATACTCTTGTATGTTAGCATGCATCACGTAGACTCTATTTTGGGAAAGTTGGAGCATGCAATGTTGTACCTCAATGGCACGTGCAAAACCGCAGCTTAGAAAAACTTGACCGAAATGTCAAATGATTTCGGGTGTCTCGAAGCCCGATTCCACAAAAATTCCATAGCCAGATCGACATGCTACAATAGAAAAAAGGGAAAAAGAATTTGAAAATTTAATTAAAACAATATCCAATTATGTGAACAACATAAATAACAGAGAATATGCACTTACATTGTCGATGAGCCATGCTCATTTGCCCATCACATTGTCAAACCAACTTCTGCATTCGATACCTTATTTTTCCCTATCTGGTAGATAACTCTGACAAAAAGGGAAAATGTTAGAAAACGCATAATTGAGTTCTTATACTTTTACCAAAACCAAAAAATACTTACCCGAGTCTAAGACCGTTGAACCAGTTATCGAACTCTTTTTTCTTCGTCGGGTCGACCTCATAAAAGAGATTGGTGAACATACCATCCACGAACGACCTCTTTTTTACCTCGGATGTGAAAGAAAAAACAATGTAGTTTGATCGTAATCTCATTCTTTTGTCGACCACCTGCTCCGACATGTCAACAGAATGATTCCTACCCTTCTCCCTCCACCTCCCGTCCGACATGTCACATCATCCACCTCTATGACATCCTCCATCTTGTTGAGCATCATCTTCGTCTCCCTTACCACCCCCTACCATTTTTTTCGCCACTGCCACCCCCATCCAAGGCACCATTACATAATCTATCACCCTTCCGTTATCGCCACCCCTTCTCTTTCTGGCTCCATGATATCCTATGTCACCCCTCCACCACTGACACCCCATTCATTACCACTACCGCTACATCCTCTATCACCTTCTCAACCAACGAAACCTCCTCTATCCCAAACACCGTCACATCATCGGTTACCCTCTCCATCACTGATGGCTTGGGTCCAATCTACACATCAAATGTGTTATTCGACTACCACATCGACTCATTGAACCCTCCATTATACCCTCTGCAATCTCTCTATCATACATTTTACCATACTCACCTAATCCTCGTAGCACTGCGACCTAATGTCGTAGGCTTGCTCCATTGTCTCGTATCGCTAAGACTTTATTAAAAAGGTCTCTTACATTGCCTTGAAGAGTGCTACATCATGTCGTAGGTCTTTTACTGTACCTCTTACTACACTGCATCTACCTCTTATTACGAGGCTCCTAACTCTTGTCTGAACCCTTGGTCTAACTCATGTTTGATAGCTCGTAACTCCTATCTGAATTCATGTACGTACTGTCAGCTTTGAGAGAGCCTAGACCCATCTTACCCCTCATGACTTTCTGATGCGTCCCCCAAGATTCGAACCTAAAACCTCCATCATATGGGACGCGTCAGAAATCTGTGATGGAGGTCTTGAGTTTGAATCCTGGGAGAACGTGTTAGAAATCCGTGAGAGGTAAGATGGGCATAGGCTCTCCCGGTACGTACGATATGTTAATGGCTCCGGCACAAGGTCAGGTCATTACACCTTATCTTGAATAACTTCAGTCAACCGCTCAAACAATTCACCCGAGTAATACCTCTGCTATATAGGCTCATGATTGGGTACAGGAGATCCACATGGAAGGTGGCTAGGTGACAGAGATCTTCCAGGTAAATGAGATATCTTCGATGAAAGA